CCCTTTTCCTCACATCATTAAATGTGCCCCTAATTTAAAGCGACTTAGAGATATTTCAAAGCTTACTCGCTGCACTTAATCGCATTTTATTTTATAGATAACATAATTATGTTACTCATCAATAGTCTTTTCAGTCTTTCGTTATGAGAATGTGCTGATAACCCCATCAAGTTTTTTTTCTTCCCCTCTTCAATAAGATGTAATTTTTCGCACTGCGACCTCACAAATCTTAAAAATTTCCTCGCTCGCTCGCAAATGAATATTCAAATAAATTTTAACCCCAACTGCAAAGTATGATGCCTAAGCACTGTCTCATATATGAAGAGAAACATGAATTGAAATATGGCCTGATAATGTAATTATAATGTAGGGGTATCCACGTCTACGTCACAACCACTGACCAAACTGCCATTTTGATATTCGCATAGACTTAGTGATCTCATAAATATTTCACACATTCATAACTGTCTTATGATATTAGTCCGATTTATTTCAAACAACGCTATTATTATGTTTATCATATTTTTATACAAATGAGCTTAATTATTACAAGAGCTGAATTGCCCTTCAATGATAGTTCTGATAATTGCAAATTTAATTTGCATTTAGTTTGATATTTTGTATATAGGGACCTGTAACAATTTTACAGATCCCTGTTAATTCAAAAATGCAGAATGTAATTCTCATATACATCCGCAGTGTAGGCTACTCCTTCTTCTACACGACCCCGTTGTTGTGCCGAGTCACTCTCTCATACCTTTAATCCTGATGGGAGGGCCGGGGGGGGGGGGGGGGGGTCACCCTCACACCCGACAGGCTCAGTTAGGAGAACTTTTTTTGTGATATCCGTTCTTTAGAGACAGAGAAAATAATACATGTATCAATATCAACATTTGATAATCAATTCAATACATGAAATGGGGTTTGTAAAATTAAAAAATTAAAATAAAAAATAAAATATTCTAGGATATTAAGGATATTCTTTCGGCGGGGGGGGGGGGGGGGGGGGGGGTGTCCAGTGGTGAGTGGGGATGTATTACCCATCTTTTATTTCCGCTATAGCCTGATAGTCCCATGGTCCACTGGTATGGTTCATATGATTACTTGTTGATGTAAGTATAAGAATTAATTTCAGATGTGGTATATTTCATGAGTATAAAGATCTAATTATGCCTATATAGTAGGAAGTTAGGAACCGTTTGAGTTTTGATTTAAAGGAAGGAGGTTTGGTGCATTTATAATTTTATCATTAAGCAGTACATTCCAAATTTCAGGCCGATGAAAATGACAGTATTTTGGGAAAGAATAGTTTTCATTCGGACAGTAAAAAAAAAAACCAGCTGGTGTTCAGATTTTCTCCCATTTTGGGGGGTATATTTTGTTCAGTAACAAGATCGAGCTTGCGCATGTTTTATCTGCTGGGTGCAAGCCAAGAAAAATAACACACAACACAGTGGCGGATCCAGGGGGCCGAAACGGCCGCGGCCCCGGCCCCCCTCTATTGGCGGCGCAAAAAAAACAGAGAAAAAAAAAGAAAGGAGAAGAGAAGAAAAAAAGGAGAAGAGAAAAGAAAGGAGAAGAGAAAAGAAAAGAGAAGAGAAAAGAAAGAAGAGAGAGAGAGAGAAAAAAGAAAGAAAGAAGATACCCCCCCCCCCTACCTCACTCCCACTCCGGGGTCGGAGGGACCGATTTTGTGTTCCCAAAATTTCCGATAAAGGGTTACTTTTCACGCAACAAAGTCCGGCCCGTAATACACACAAATCCGGCCCGCACTGACTTACACACCGAAGATAAAGGGGTGCTTTCAAACTGCAGCATCAGAACTGAATACACACAGTCGCTGATTCAGGATTTCTTAGGTGGGGGTGGGGTGGGGGGGGGGTGGTAATGAGCACTATTTTTTTTTTGGGGGGGGGGGTGGGGGCACGTGCCCCCTGTGCTCCCTAGATCCGCCACTGACACAAGTTAAAAATATATACATTTACATTGTAAAAATCACAGAACATTTAGTTGGATATTATTTAAATGTGTCATGTTTATTGTAGGCCTATTCTTAATCATATCTCAATGTTGCAATTATCATTTTTTAAATTTTTTAAACTCTAAACTCTAAAAGAGGGAGTTTTTTTTCTCTCTCTCTGTCTTTGGACTCCTAATTTTTTTTTTAAGGGGGTCAAAATAACTTGAGTACTATAGATAGGTACAGGCGCGTACGCAGGGGGTGGGGGATTGGGGGTCGAACCCCCACTAACATTTTTGATGTGTGTGATTTTTTAATTAAAAAAAGAAGAAAAAACCCTTTTTTTGTGTGCAAAAGGGTGACCCCAAAAAAGTGACCTTACCCCCCCCCCCCCAGCCATCGAAATATAGGTCGGCCAAATTTTTAATTTCCGGAAAAGAAATGTGCTCGCAGTGGCGGCCGGATCCAGGGGGAGGGGGTGCCGGTGGGCCTGTGGTCCCCCCGGAAAAAAACGTGTAAAAACACTTTAATTTTACCTTTTTATGGAGATGGGCCCCCTCCCTGGCGTTCAAGGGGGGGGGATGCGATTTTCCAAATTTTCAAGGGCCCCCCCCAAAAAAAAAATATAGTATATCCCTATGATCCCCTCCCCCCCCCCCCCCACCCCACTGAGCGAATTCTCGGCCGGTGCGATTTTTAAATTTTCGCCACTAAATATTTTCTCACAAATTGGGCCCCCTCCCCTTCCCTGCCGCCGGCGAAATTTTTATTCCAAACAGGTTTGCATTTCTTATATTTCCGTTCTTCTCAATGCTGATAATTGTTATACGTCACTAGCAGCTTGGAAAGAGGTCACAAACAATTAGACTTTGATTTGTATTGCTTTGCCTCACTATTTATAAAGGCAAAAACTGAATAAACTGAGACTTGAACCCTCAACTGTAAGATTGTATACGCTGACCTTACCGATTGAGCCAACGATGGGTTAATGAAAGGTGATTCTGCATGATTTTTGTAACCCTATCACTCACCCTAACGGTTACGTCATTGCTAATGACGTAGCATATCAGCCAATCAATGACCGGAAATATTAGCATTGGCAAACCTGTTTGGGAAAAAAATTAGCCTGCCGCCGGCTGGATCCGCCCCTGCCTGGTAGCACGGTATGCTCAATAGCACATCAATTATCGACAGCATATTTTTGCCCCGTTGCAGTCAAAATGACTTTGCTTCGAGTGAATGCACTGAAAGTCTCAAATGTGAGTCTGTCCTTAATCTCACATATTATTTCGTCTGTCATCCCTCTTGACTCCAATACACACACAAATAACACATAATACCTTCAATTATTGTGGAATAGCCTGACAACGACTACTGAGAGCCAGCCGTTTATTCAGTATGAATGTACATTTCTTCTCGTTTCCTTCACTGGAAACCGGACCTATCATGGTCCAGGATAAAAAACCAGAGATAAAACTCAACGAGCATAAAAACTCTGGAAAACCTTATTCAAACACAGTCATATGTAACACTACATGACACAACGCACTTTTTGTAAATAAAAGTTGTCTCGTTGAAAGTTCAAGGACAAATATACAGTTCTCAGGTAGACAAAGGAACATCCTTTCACTGCTATTATGTAAAAATGTGTAGAACAGGCGTCACATGTACATTCACCATTTCATAATAGCAGTGAAGGGATGTTCCTTTGTCTACCCAGGAAGCTGTAATAAATGGAGATCCCGTTCAAGAGGCCCCTTTGAAGCCACCGTGGCCCGCGCGTCTTTTGTTTCCTCTATCGTAATCCCCTTAATCCCCCTCCGAAACCGTACAGCTCCTAGTAGCACTAAGTCCTCCCTTTCTACACACAGCCCAGGCAGCGAGCACGGCGGCTTTGCTTTGCGGCTCGTATTTGGGGGTGAATAGTGGTGATAACTTGACAACTTCCAGCCCTCAATCAATAAATGCGCAGCATATAACACAATTTATTTAGTTCTTTAGGAAGATAAACCTTTGGAGTACCTTCCTGGCTATCTACAAATTTCGGAAATTTTCGGAAAATGTCATAATTAGATGAGAAAATCATGATGATGAAAACTTCATTCGCTCTAACTCACGATTTCCTTGGTCGATTTCGCTGGTTGATGGCCATGTCTTTAGTAGAGCTATCCGAGAACGGAAAAAGCATTTGATGACTAATAGAAAGTTGCTTGGTCATATGTTGTGAATTCTGTATTTTATATGTTATAGCTAAATACATCTTCACTGAATATGACTTAACTTGTCGGTGCCACGCATGGCTTCAAGCTCGATCCTTGCATATTTTTGCAAAAGAGTGAATAGAGAACTAAGAGAAGCAGATGGCGTTGCGTACATTTTTACTATTTGGAATGCCAGAGAGGGACTGTGCATTGATATGGACAGCTGTTGATGGAAATGATGGCTGGAGAGGTTACATTTCTTTTTGTTAAGCCAGGTTAATCTTGAATATTTCTCCCTCGGAAAATTCTTTCGAGACGGTATCTCCATTTATTACAGCTTCCTGGTCTACCTGAGGAACTGTATATTTTGTCCGCTTTCTTTGTCAGTCATATTCATAGTGCTAGCTGGTCTCCGTAGCAGAATTAGCTCGCACACCTGTACGAGCTGCCTATGCAAATATACATTCCATCGGGGCACAGCCCCCCCCCCCCCCCCGCGCCCAACATAAGTATGCATTCATTAACGATACAAACACATTAATTTTGTCTGCTATACAATCGTACCGCAGACAAATAATAGTTTCATCCTAACATCGTTTATCACGTATATCACCCATAGCAACCATCACATACAGATGTCACTCTGAAGCTAGAATGACTTCCCTCTACACCGGCCACACCCTTATTCGCATCCTCTCTTTTCATATTCAAATGAAACACCTTCAACGCAACGGAATTGAATAATTCCGTCACGCATGCCAGAGAACAATTAGTGTTTACTACTTATTGGCCGTATAAACAACATTTGCCAGCTGTACGATGTAACGCTGGCAAATACATTTCCTTCGTCTGCTCAAATCACGTGATGTATTTCAATTGAACATGCAAATAGCGCGCTCGCGCGAATCGGTTTTAGGTTTCGAGTAAGATGGGAAGCAAGAAATTAACCATTCTCTGCTAGATTCTGTCCTAGACAAGTCGTTTTGAGATATTTACTTAGCTTTTGCTTCGTTCGCCTAGCTTGCTTTGAACCACTGTTATTTCACTTGTGTAATAATGGTCTTTTACGGCAACAAGTTCACCGGGAACTGTGTGATGAATACCCTGGAGGGTACTCGTTGTAGGAGGAAGGCACCCCGGCCTGTTGATGAACCGGATGAGTGCTGGCAACACCGACAGTATGTAGACTAGATCTATATAGTTATTTTCTAAATTAAAAATGAATTTACCAACTCAGTAGTCAGCTCTCATGGAGAATTCGACACCGTTCGGGTGTTTACCCAACAACAGGTGTTGTCAATCACCCGGGTTAGCCTTGAGTTTTATGACCATTACATAGGCATTAGACCTTATGTAATGCTTTGATTTACCCGTTACCCGAAAACTCTCGAGTAATTTTATCCGAGAAATCAGAAGGGGGGGGGGGGGATTCTTGACTGGCCAACGGGTTTGCTGTGTGCAGATTTGTACCCCCACTAATGGTATTTCCACCAAGTCTGGTGTCAGCGAATATGGCCTTCTGCGCATGGAAACTGCTGATACAATCCCTTTATACACGCAGGATATTGACCCTTCAGTGAGTTGAAAGTTATTTGTTTTGGGTCATTCATTGTAATTACCCTATCGAATGTCTTACCAAAATTGCAACATCTGCACTTTTGTCTTATATATTCGCATTCTATTATTTGCAATCTAGTAGAAGTAATAGACTATATGTCCTGTTTATGTTTCCTTTATTATACAGACAGCCAGCCGAGGTCCAGTGCTCTGCACATATTGGGCTTCATGGGAATGGCAGACGTTGCAGCCGGCGTGGACGTCACTCGCTAGACGAAAACGCTGTTGAACTCTACTGCACGCAACACGGTATGCATTTATTCAAAGTAAATCTCTCACATGTAACTTAGATCTACATTTTAAAAAGGCGTCTTGTGGACCATAGACTATAGATCTACATGTATTTGCCCAGACCATTAGCGGATCCAGAATTTTCCAGGAATCGAGGGCCGCATATTGCCATTGGTAAAAATATTAAAAGGAAGAGTAATATTGATTCATGTACATATGTATATTGATTCAAAATATTTTGAAACTAATTACACTGCCCCCCTCCCCTCCCCCCTCCCCCTCCCCCTCCCCCTCCCCCTCCACTCAGTGTTATTTAGGGTAGGCAGCATATATGCATGTTCCCTCCCTTTGAAAGCACCCCCTATCTCCGGTGTGTAAAGTCAATACTGGCCAGATTTTTGTGTATGTACGGGCCTTACTTTGTTGCGTGAAAAGTAGCCTACCCCTTTACCCTTTACCCTGGGATCATTGAATGTGTACGTTGGTGCATTGACGGGGGGTATATTCCAGAATAAATGGAGAATCGTGTATTTGAATGTGATCTGTGAAATGCCATGCATGTACTAGTAGCATGTCCTCATTTATGTTTTCGTTTGGTTTATACAGTCAACAAGTTGCATCGCGAGAACGGTCGTGCGGAGGTCGTTCCTGCTCATCGCCAACAGCAGGATGAACAGCGTAGGAGGGCGGAGGAGCGTGAGCAACTCCACCCGAGACGAAGGTCACCGCGTCTGGTAGAGCGAGAGATCGCAGCTGCCGCCGCTGTTCAACTCGCCGCGGAGAGAGAGCAACGTCGTGCCGCCAATCGGGCAAACCAGAACCTGCGGAGGTCGGCCCGGATTGCCGCGAGGCGAGGCAATGTGTGATTATAGCCTGGGTAAGTAAATTTTTTTATATGCTTTCCTAATTTTAAGTATTCTAACAATTCCTACCCCCACAACAAAAATAACTAAACAGATGAGCATGCAATGTATTCAATGTACCAAACACAATTTGTTTAATTGAAGACTTGACATTGAGCCAAAACTTTACAACATAGCAGCAACTTTTAATGATCAGTTGGATCAAAATGAACTGAGATGCATCCAAGGTTTCTAAATAGTATGATAGTTATTTGTCACAATGATATAGGGGTTTTTCAAAATTCATTTATCTGAAAACATAATCCGTTTTATTTATTTAAAAAAAAGTTTGAAACAGAAACATCTTGCTCATAATGAAATTAAAGGGGAAGCCCCACCATGATATTAAGTGTATTTTTTTTAGAATCAGAACATGAGAGAAACAGTTCAGTGAAAGTTTGGGCATAAACATAAAATTGTAGATGAGCTTGCATGATGTCACATTTTTTTCACTGATGACAGCTTTAAAATTCATAACTTTCATATTCTTATTGTTATGCTTTTATTACAGTCAACTTAATTTAAGGGTGGACTTCCCCCTTAGTATAAATGATTTTTAAACTCACTTCATTCTCCTTTCCTACAGACTGATTCGCAGAAGCAGCAGGGGGGAGACCGAGGGGGGATACTGGGTCGAACACTGCTGAGGTTCTCGGGACGTAAACGCCTTGCTATAGGAGTAGTAGGGAGGAAGCCGAGACGGGTAGTGCATGGTCACTCAAAACCAGACCCGCTGTACTATCGTAGTCAAGAAAGACTGGGTGTGGTCAGTCGAGGTAGACGCCGGAGGCCATTCCCTTTCTTTGACCGCCTGTAAATTATTCCAAGAAGGTATGTCTACTGTTCATTATTTTGGCTTCATATGTTTAAAATAGTATTAATTCTTTATAGCATTATAGCATTACCTGGCAAAACATGGGGAGTCTTCATCTTGCTTTTGTTTGCACATGTCCTCATCATTTTGGAGTGTATACCATTTATATGTATCCTCTATGTGGAAAATGTTTATATAAAGTAAAATGTAGGGCCGAAAGGTGAAAAACGTCTTTATATTTTGTCTACATACTCAGAAATAAATCTATTTTGAAATTAATGTATAAACTTGGTATAATCTTTACCTAACAAAATTGTTTCATTTGTGTTTATTTTTACGATATTATCTGCCCATCATATTTCCTTTGAGATGCCTAATACAACATTTGTTTAACCTCTTTATTCCACAGATCAGGCCTCACCGTGGGACGCGCACACACGTCGTAAGTATGCAGGTATTTCAATGTCTACCTTGTGATAATATATTCCTACTCACCAGATCAGTTTACCCAATACCTCCTAATATAAGTCATGTATACTTCTGAGGTTTGACATGTAGGTTATTACATTGAGAATTTGTGAATATTTGGCTGAAAATCTTTTTTAATATACGTTATATTGTTATAAGGGTTCAGAAGTTGTCTTTTTTTGTAAGTTTAGTTATTGGTTTTGCAATCATCCATCTCATAAAAGTAGTTGTACTGATATTTCAATGTGTATTATTTATTGTTATAAAATTTAGTGTTGAGTTTATAAAGGTTAAGCTTAAATTATTAATATGACCTACTCGGTGATTAATGAGCAATGTGTAATTTAAAATGTGTTCAATTGACCTATGCTTTATGTACTGTATATAGTTGTTAGCCATGTGAAGTAAAAATTCCACGTAATGTGGACAATAAAACAAATCAACAAATCAAATCAATGTATCTTGTTGTAAGAGCTAGACTTGGCAGGAGCTGTCCAATTACCCAGTTTGTAATTAGCACCAAATAACCACTAAATATATATCTGAACATGGAGAGGCCTAATAGGGATTGTAGAACTTGAGGAGTCACATGAATGCCATTTATCTCCAGTTAGAGATGCAAAACTTTACCCGTGTATCATGAAATACCATACTGGTGCATAAAATAAAATGAATGTTTGAACATGTATCCAATATTTTTCTCAATTTGCACATTTTTTAAAACCAAATTTTCAAACTGCAATTACAAACTGGCCTATTATAGGATGTGTACTGATAATGTACTTGTAGACAGAATGTTCTTTCATGTGGAATGCACGAAAGAATAAGAAAAAAAGATGCCAACAATTAATGATGAACTAACAAAAATGGTTGCAAACTAATGATAAAATACAATTAAAAATATGAAATTTAAAATTTAGAAAGAGACGTTAAATGAAAAACAAAATAAGATGGACAAAATAATTAAATTGAATAGAACACATTCTTTTTTATAAAAAAAAGGTTTAAAATTAAGTTTAAAAAGGATGTGTGTTCCCTTCAAAGTCGAGACGAGTTACACGGGAAAACACTAAAAATCACTATAATCCTTTAGCATTAGTGATCATAAGATTCTTGGTAAAGTTTTCCAGTCCCTTAAAAGAAACAACTGAAATCTCATCTTCTCCCATTTGCAATTACTTTTATTTAATCCTATTTTCTTATACATTATATACATGTTATGCATATGTAGGTTCTACTCATATACCGGTAAAGCAAATCCCCTTCTGTTTCTCTATTTGTAGTGGATTATTCTCAATCCTATCTTTTAAAGGGGTGCATTTTCCTGACATGTTTCCAATTCAAAGAAGAAACAAAATCACATATGAAGAAATAAATCACCTTTATGTGGCTGGGGTAAAAACAAAATTAAATTTAGTTTTTATTCATATTTACCAGAGGACATATTAAGCATTATATCAGAAAAAAATACATCGTGTTCACTATTTTCAGGAATACAGCACCTGTAAATCCCATGTGTGTTCTCTAATAGGATTTGTTAGACTCTCTGTGAAATGAATAGTTTTTTTCCTTCTCTTATCTTTCCAGTTTGTATCTTAATCATATATAATTGCTTTTATTGTGGGATGTTTTGATTTTTCTTATGGTAGGATAGGACTCCTTTAAAATATAATAAAGATGTAATATATAGCTTTTTCTACTTTTCTTCTCAAGTCTCCACTAATTATAAATTAATGTTTTAATACAGTAGGCTCTACTTCAAATGTGTAATACCTAATCATTCTCAGTATTGTTTAGCAGCTGTTTATCTTGTCCAATGCTCTCTCTGGTTTACCCTTCTCTCCATTGCAGCAGGGATGTTTCTCGATATTGTAGAATTCTCTTGATAGCTCTTTACATCTTCTAAGAGTATTGAATCTTTCTTTCAATAGGAGAATATCGTATGTCATTCACAATTCAAGGCTTTCGGTAACACTATGTGGTTTGTACACCAAGAATTAGGTCATATGGAAGTAAAAAAGGAAAGGAAAGAAAGGGTGGTCAAGATTGAGAAGGTTGTGAGGAGATCGCAAAGGGTGTAGTTTTGAAAAGAAAATTGTATCTTTCCTCTTTCTATATCATTTTTATCTTTCTATTTGTTTGTATTTTTGTTAATGTCTTCGTCTTTCTTTTTCTTTTTCTGTATCTGTATCTATACTTGTATATATTTAGTCTTATATTATCCCCTCGCTGACGAAGTCGGAGGGGATCTAGTAACGCAGCCGTCCGTCCGTTCGTAACAAATCTGATTTCCGTTCGATAACTTTAGTAATGTTTGGCGGATTTTAATAAAATCTGTTATGAAGGTACATGGTATCAAAATACAGCCTAAGTTCGATTTCAAAGTATGTAGATCAAAGGTCAAAGGTCATAGCTTATTAATATGCAAAATACCCAAATCTGGTTTCCGCTCTATAACTTTAGTAATGTTTGACGGATTTCAATGAAATTTCATATAAAAGTAAACGGTATCAAAATACACAGCCCCAATTTCGATTGCGGAGTATGTAGGTCAAAGGTCAGAGCTCATTTAATATGTGGGGAAAAAGCTAATTAGAAAATTTGGTTTCTGTTCAATATCTTAGTAATTTTTCGACGGATTTGAATGAAACTTGATATGAAGGTACATGGTATCAAAATACAGCATAATTTCAACTTTGGAGTATGTAGGTCATAGGTCATAGCTCTTTAAATATGCAAAATACCTATTTATATATGCGAAAATGTGGTTTTCATTCAATAATGTAAGTAATGTTGTTGAGTATGTACGTCAAAGGTCAAAGGTGACAGCTCATAAATATTAAAAACTTGCTAAATATAGGCCATTTTTACCCGGCGAAGGGACGCTACGCTTTGCATGGACTTGCTTTTTTTTCTGTCTCTCACTTCTATGTCCTTTTAGAACATTATCATTTATACTCTTTCTTCTTCTCATACTTTATCATCTTCTCTTCATTATCTTTCCCATCCATTGTACCCATCCATAATACCCATATTTACCACAATAAATCAATGTATCTACCTATCATTTGCTAGTTTATCCAAACTACGCCACAACTCTAAAAACATCACAATCGCGTATGCCCCACCCCCATAATTCGCCTTCCCAGGGTTCATGTGCGCAACGCACACCCGCCATTCATCCTCTTTCTATTCTCGCCTACCGGCAGAGACATCGTTACAGCTGAGTCACATTTAAATTCAAGGATTTTGTCCTTTTTTCGATAGGCTTAGCTCTTTTTACGCATTGAATTCCGTCCTCTTTTTTATTGCTATTAATATGGTGGTACAGGTTCCCAAGTCACATATTTATTTTTGCAGAAATTTGGGTATCATTTCTGCTCCGCATATTTCCACTTTCACGACCATAAATTACAGGCTTTGGTACGCCGCTGGGTTAGGGCGTTTGGTCCTGGCGTTACGGCCTTTGCTGTTGGGATTTCTTATGTGAGGTAAGGCGGTTAATTTATTCACTGACCTAACGTCCCACCTTGGCTTGTTACGCTTCACGGATCACCGCTTCTGCGGCGGGACCTTTTGTCTGTTCGTGATAGTTTGGTTTTATGTTTTGTGACCATGTTGAGCCTATTTAGCTGAACCTTCCAGATTTAGCAAGGCCCTTGAGCAAGCTTCGTCACCCGACGCTTCAGCAAGGGGAACGAAGTTTTTAGTTTGTATTTTATGAGTTTACTGTAGCCTTCTGATGTCCAGTCTCCGACTGTGACTTAGACGGAGAAGGCTGTGCTGATTTTTAGACCTCAGCCTGCGTTCTCTCCAACCGTTCAGACTGGGCTTCTCGTTGTAACAAAGCATCTTGGTGGGCGACAGGGTTTACCCTGGTCCCATCTGTCTGTTCTGAAGCCCAGTTAGGCTTGTCTGTTGTAAGCTGGTACCTGTTTTAGGTTGGGATCCGTCTTGATAATAATAATAATAATATTCAATTTTTATATAGCGTTTAATACAAATGTCTCTAAGTGCTTTACAAATATACTATTACCCTAGTCATTGGATTCAGTGCTTCCATTTTTTGGGGGGAATTATCTCTTGGACACAATTCCCCAGCTAACCTTGAGGGTAATCAGAGTCCGTTGCTGATGTTGGGGCAACAGGCTCCCCGGCGGGTTTCCCGTCTCTGGCTTGTTTCAGGTCGGTGGGTTCGGTTTTCTGTCCCTGTTGCTGCGGACATCTGTTCCCTCTCTCGGCCGGACGTGTTGTTCCAGCCTCTGGCGGGGATTCACCGTCGTTGTCCCGTGGTGCTTGCTCTCTCTGACTGCCAGGACGGTGTCGGGAGGACGTTGACTTCTGGACTCTCTGAAGAGAGTCTCATAGTTTATAGTCCAGAGTCGTAGGGATCCCACAAGGACCCTTTACAACTCTCCTTTGGAGCCCTTCTCCATTTGGTGTTAAGGCCTTGGGGTCTCACCCGTAGACTTCGGCAGGTGTGATAGTGGTTTTTTGACTTACTTGTTTGACAAGGGTAGAGCCCTTTCCACTATTCGTGGTTACCGTTCGCCCTTCGCTGCCACTCATGTCGGGTTTGCCAAAAATCAGTCGGCGTCATCCGGAACCGGTGGAGGTTTTCCCAGTCCCCTTTCGGAATTCTCGTGGTTGCGGAGGACAAGGTCTGGTGCCCTTCATGACACTCAAGTGGTACTTATAGATAGAACTAAGGTTCACTGAAAGGATGACCAGTTGTTCCTCATTTTGTGGGAGCTCTTTTCTCCTGCGTCCCGAGAATCCATCTTCAAATGGACAGTGGACGCTATTCAGGCAGCAGGTCCTGAGGCTGGGTCCGAAGGCGATGTATGGGGTGTGGGGCATGCGCGAACGTGACATTATTAAAAAAGTTCTCGATGGTGGCGTGCAAATAATAGGTAGATACATAGATTCATATAGTAAATAATAAAATCAGTTCTGATTTTTCTGCTTTCTCTTACCCCACCCTCATCCATCATCTTCTTACTCATCCATCTCCATCGTCCACTTACCCATTCCACTACCTCATCCTCTTACCTATTCCTCTTATCCTCTTACCTATCCTTCCTCTTACCTATCCTTCTTCCTCAGTCCTTTTAATATTCCTCTTCGTTCCTCTTCCCTTGCTCTTCTATCATATCCATCCCTCTCCCATATCATTCCTCATCCCCATCCCCATCCTCTTATCCATCCCATTTTCATCATATTACCCATCCATCTTCCACATCCATCTTCCACAGCCCCTTAATATCCATCCTCTTTCCTTATCCTCTTACCCACCCTAATCTTCATTCTCTTACCCACCCTCTTCCTCATCCTCTACCACCCCACCCCATCCTCATCCTCTTACCCATCTGTCATCCTCATCCTCCTTCTAATACATCATCATTCTCTTCACCATCCTCATCCTAATCCTCTTACCCATCCCTCTTCCTCATCTTCTCCTCATCCTTCTCCTTATCCTTCTCCTTATCCCTCATCCTAATCCTCGTACCTGTTCATCTTGCTCATCATCTTATGTATCCCTATTCCCTCATCCTCCTACTCATCCTCATCCTCTTACCAATCACATTTCATATCCCCTCCCTCCCTCTCTCTATATTTCTCTCTTTCCTTTCTTTCTCTCTTCTCTCTCTATCTTGCTCTTTCTCTCTCTTTCTATCTTGCTCTTTCTCTCTTCTCTCGTTCTTTTAATATCTTATATCAGACTTGTCATGTTTACTTTTAGTAATCAACTTTTCCATTCGCTAGTAATGAATTACATTTAGGTGTGCTTCCTTGCCTTGATTATGTCATATCTCTTTTCTTT